TGTGGGGGGCGGGGGGGGGGGGGCTGAAGAAATCCCCGAAATTCGGGAATAAATGAATTCCTCTGGGAATCGGGGGGATAAATCCCACGGGAATCGGCAATTCGGGGAATTGACCGCTGTGCCCGGGAGCTGCCGCCAACGGCCGGCCCCGTTTAAGTTATAAATCAGGGATGTAAAGACCGGGAAAGCCGCGGTTCGTTCCTGAGGGGGGCCCGGTTCGTTCCTGAGGGGCCTCCGGAGCCTCAGGGACTGTTTGGGGCCGTTGGAGCCGTTACCGGATCCCCCCAGAACGATCCTTTAACCGCCACCTCGGAGGGGTTTGAAACTCGGGGGGGGCATGGGGGAATGGGGAGTAATGGGGGAAAATGGGGGAAACGGGGAATGGGGAGCAATGGGGGGAATGGGGAAAATAGGGAGCAACGGGGGAAACTGGGGAGCAATGGGAGAAATGGGGGAAATGGGGAATTAATGGGGAGAATGGGGGGAAATGGGGAAATTGGGGAGCAATGAGGAAAATGGGGGAAAATGGGGAATGAGGAGCAGTGGGGGAAATTGGGGAGCAATGGGGGAAATGGGGAATGAATGGGGGGAATGGGGAAATTGTGGAGCAATGAGGAAAATGGGGGAAATTGGGGAATGAGGAGCAATGGGGGGAATGGGGAAAATAGGGAGCAATGGGGGAAATTGGGCAATAATGGGGGAAATGGGGAATTAATGGGGGGAAATGTGGAAATTGGGGAGCAATGGGGGACAATGTGGTAAATGGAGGGAAATAGGGAGAAATGGGAAAAGTGGGGAGCAGTGGGGGAACAATGGGAGAAATACGGGAAATTGGGAGCAATGGGGGAAGTGGGGAATCAATGGGAGAAATAGGGGAAATTGGAGGAAATGGGGAATCAGTGAGGGAAATGGGGGTCCTGGAGGAAGGGGGGACCCTTGGAGGATGGGGGTGCTGGTGCTCCTTGGGGCACCCTGCGGGGTTTGGGGGTCCCGGGGCGGGGGGTTTGGGGTCAGTTGATGGGTTCCTCCTCCCAGGTGGAGGTGGGGATGGCGCTGTAGGGATCCACCACGAGGCGGGCGCAGCGCACGGTCATGGCCAGCAGGAAGAGCCCCAGCAGCACCACGAAGGCCGTGGCCACGGCTTTGTCCACGTCCATGGCGGGCAGCGCCGTGGGGGTCTCCATGCAGGGACCCTCAGGGGGTCTGGCACAGCTCCAGAGACACTCAGGTGGGTGTTCCTTGGCTCCAGGGACCCTCAGGTGTGTCTTTCCCAGCTCCAGGGACCCTCAGGTGAGTGTTCCTTGGCTCCAGGGACCTTCAGGTGGGTCTGTCACAGCTCCAGGTGGGTCTGTCACAGCTCCAGGGATCCTCAGGTGGGTCTGGCACAGCTCCAAGGACCCTCAGGTGGGTGTTCCTTGGCTCCAGGGATCCTCAGGTGTGTCTGTCACAGCTCCAAGGACCCTCAGGTGGGTGTTCCTTGGCTCCAGGGACCCTCAGGTGTGTCTTTCCCTTCTGGCTCCAGGGACCCTCAGGTTTCTCTCCCAGCTCCAGGGACCCTCAGGTGTCTCTTTCAGGAATCCTCCAGCGCGTGTCCCCCAGCACTCAACTCCCAGTGACATCCCTGAGGGACCAGAAGAGGGGCGAATTCATGGGGCTGAGGGGTCAAAACCACCCAAAAAAAAGGGGGAAATGTGGCTTTGGGTGCCCTCTGCTCCTTCCTTACCTTGCTGGGTGTCAGTGCTGGCCCTGCTGGCTCCAGGCCCTCATGAATTCTGCAGGAATGTGCCGGCATCACTTTTCAGACACAGCCCAGAGGATCAGATTCCCACCCCACACCCCCTGCTCCCATCGGGACAAGGCTCTGGGTCCCTTCACTGGTCACTTGGGGGAAGCATTTAGGAGGATTTATCCCCAAAATTTAAAAGGCTTTGCCTCTGAGAGGATTTCAAGGTAGTTTTTTGCTTGTATTGGAATAAACTGGGAAAAACTCTTGGAAAATGCTTTGAAGTGAGCTGCCCATTTGGATCTTGCAAGACAGCCTCATGAAAACCCCAGAGCACCCAAAATATGCCAAAAATCTCCTTCAAGTTTCTTTATTTTCCCCCTCTGAGAGAAAAAAACGATCACTTTGGGAAGGCAGTGAAGCTCTGACAGCCCAGGAGCTGGGCTGTGGGGGTGTTCCAGAGATTTTTCAGCAGAGGATGAGTTGTGGGGTCCTGTTGGTGTCCCTAAATCCCTGTCCTGACAAAAAAAAACCCAATTCCAATCTCAGTCCCAGTTCCGACCCAAATCACATGTGCAGTCTGGATCCGCATCTTCATTCCCTGGGGTTTAAAACCCCAACCTCACCCCAGTCTCAACCCCAATATTAATTTTAATTTTAATTTTAATCTTAATTCCAATCCCAGTGTTGCGTGACGTCACCAACACTACCGCTATAGCCACGCCCCTCTAAGAAGCCACGCCTCCTTTTCTATGGGGGCGTGGCGAAGGCGGCTCTACTCCGCCCCCAGCCGTGCCCTCCGTTTATCCCCGCCCCCAGCCCTCCATTTGGACCAATAGCAACGCTACGTCTCCCCGTGTCCCTCCCCCCGCCCCGTGTTGAACCAATAGGAGCCCTTCGTGCCGCTAGCCCCGCCCCCTCGCCGGCGGGGCAGTGGGGCCGGCGGAGGTTTTCCTGCGCCGCCATCTTGGCTCGGCGGAGCGGAGCGAGGAGGGGGCGGCCCGGGACCCCCGCCATGGCCGCCACCGCCGCCAGCGCGGGTGAGCCCGGCCGCGGCGGCACAGGCGGGGCTGGGGAGCGGCCTGAGAGCCTCAGGGAGGGCATGGGCGGCTGAGAGGGAGCACAGCGGGCTTGAGGGGGACCTGAGAGGTCCCAAAGGCTCTGACGGGGCCTGGAAGGCTGAGGGCGACCCTCAGGGGCGGGGGTTGTCATGAGGGGCTCTGAGAGGGCTGGAGGGGCTGACAGGGGCGTGAGGGGGCTCTGGAGAGGGGGAATGGCACAGTGGGATGGGAGCTGTGTTCCCTGGATTTGGGGTGCTTGGGGTCCCCGGAGAGCCCCCCAGGAGGGACCCTCGAGGTGGGTTTGGGGTCCCTGCACTGGGTTTCCATCACCACTCGTCTGGATTTGTTTTCCTTGACGTCTTCTGTGGGTTTTAGCCCCTTTTTCAGCTGTGTTCCGCTGAGGTTTTTCTTAACTCCCAACCAAAAGCGCTGTCCCTGTTGGGAGGTTTTGCACAAATGTCTCTCTGAGCCCTGTGGAGCAGGGGAGGGCCTGGAGCACAATGTTCCCTCAGCTTCGCTTCCTCACGCTGGTCCCCAGAGTCCTCAACTCCCTCTGCACAGGAAGCTGGGAGCTGCTGAGCCCTGATTCCTGCCAGAAAAATATCTGATTTTATCAATTTTCTGGCTAAACTGCTCTGAACTGAGCTCGTATCCAGATTAACCCAGCGTCTGTGAAGTCGTGATGGATTTACAGCGTGGTGGCTGAGATCAGAATCTGAGCTTGTTCTGTGTTTTTGGGGTTTTTTTTTTAATCTTAGCTTGTCCTTTGTGGCTCCTCTTGTGGCTTGAGGGTCGTGAGGCACGCTCAGGTTTATCCAGGAGTGCTCAGTGACACTGCTGAAGGATTCTGGGGTTTTATTTTAACGTTTCAGGAAGGTTTTGTGGCTTTTAATGGTGAAAAAACACGCTGGGGACTCATCCACTTTAGGAGGAAGGAAGACACTCGTGGGTGTCCAAGCATTTGTGGAAGTGGAGTCTTCAGGGTTCCGTGGTTCTTTGCATAAGAAAGTTTTAAATTCTGAAAGAAAAGAGAAGGAATTTTCAACATCTGTGTTTAATATTTATACTCATGGGCAGAGTGACCAACTTTTACACAGAGGGATGGAAATACACAAACAGTAAACATGGAGATTATTAGGAGATTAAATTCTGAAGAATTCTCACAAATTATGTGGGTCTTCTTTTCCTTAAAGTGTTAAAAAACAGATTTCAGGGCTCCAGTGGATGCTGGATAATGCCCCAAAATACCCAGAATGTCTTCATTTCAACCCCTTAGCAATGGAAGAAACATTCTTTTCTTAATTTTTATGTTTCTTCTCAGAGAACGTTCCCATGGGGATGAAAGTGCTGAGCTGGCATTGCATGGGAAACTCAAACAAGCTAAAAACCTCCTGCTTACTTAAAAAAAAAATCAATTTAATGTACCCCAGACACAGAAATTGAGATGTTTTGTAAATAAAAAACCATAAAAGCAGAAATATCCAAGCCTTCTAGTTGTGAGTGAAATGCAGAGTACTTTTAAGGCCGGTTTATCTGCTCCAAACATTTTGGGGAGCTCACAAATGGGTAAATTTAAAACAAATCTTGTGAGATTTGATGTCCAAACGTGAGCCTGGCAATTAACCCCCTGCTGAAGCTTCTGCAGCAAAAAGCACCAGTTTTGTACAATAAAAATATACATTAAAGCTGCAGCAGCCCCTTTTGTAAATCCCAGCTGGGAATATTTGCAGTAATTTTATTTTGGAGCCTTTTTTTTTTTTCCCCTGTTGGGATGCCAGTGGTTGCAGCAGAGCCTTTCCCAGGAGAGCTGGGCTGGGAGCCTGGAGCAGTGGTGGGGGTTGGGATTTACATTTTCTCTCTTCTGGCCTTAATTAGATGCAGCTCATGGTGTGGGGAAGCAGGGATTGCTTCTGGGAAGGGCTGGCACACAGAGCCAGCCAGGATGTTGGAAACCCACCTGGGGCTCTTGACTGGACGCCTCCAGGGATGGTGACTCCAGAGCAGCCCTTTCTGGCAAGGAATTTCCCTCACACCCATCCTAAACCTGCCCTGGTGCAGCTTGGGGCTGAGCCTGCCTCCAGCCTCTTTCCAGGGAGTGAAAACTGCGCCCTGTGCTCCAGGAATTCACCTCTGTGTGGTGGTGCTGGTGTTTGGAATGGGGAGAAGAAGTTGGGAAGGAATCTTTGTGTTCCTGGGGATCCCAAAGGGTGAAAAAGCCAGAGCTCTGCCTGGTTTTGGGGGGCTGTGGCCACCCTGTGCTCCAGGAATTCACCTCTGTGTGGTGGTGTTCATGTTTGGAATGGGAAGAAGAAGTTGGGAAGGAATCTTTGTGTTCCTGAGTGTTTCCTGGGGATCCCAAAGGGTGAAAAAGCCAGAGCTCTCTCCGGTTTTGGGGGGCTGTGGCCACTCTGCCCCTGCAGAGCAGTGCCAGGTCCTGGTGCCCACCCTCAGGGTCTGTCCTGAGCTTCCACCTGAGCCACGAGAGGGAAATGTTCCTCAGAGGGAGGCAGGTTCCTCATGGGATGCATTTTGGGCTCCTGGGAGATCTCAAAGGTTTGAAAAGCAATTCCTGTGTCTGTCCTCCTCAGCCCTGCGTGGAGCTGGGCCTGGAGAACGGCACAGTGTCACTTCCTTCCCCTGCCCAGAGAGGAAATTCCTTCCCCTCAGGAAAGGGATTCTCCTCTGTGCTCCAGAAACTTCATTTCTGTTCCCACCACGTTCAGATAGGGCTGGGGAAAAGGAGGAACCCTCCTGGCCTGCTTTATTCCCACTTGAAACTTCATTTTGTTAAACAAAATCCTTGGGTGTCACTTTGGGACTTCACAGCAGCATCTGGGTGATCCAAAATCCAGCAGAAAGGAGATGGGGAAGGGTTTCCACCTCTGGTTTTTTGTTCTCCAGATGTATTTTTGAATTGCAGAGGATCCTGGTGTTGGATGGGCTGTGCTCACTCCTGCTGTTGGTTGGAATTGTTGTTTTTGGCTCTTTCAGCTGCCAAGCCTCGAGCTGGATGCTTATTCCATACTGTAGTCACCCCTGGGAAATACTATGGATCTGCATGGAAAAAGCTTCCTCAGCAACACCAGCTGCTTGGAGGAAAACAAACCAGGCAGGCAGAGAGGCTGGGAATGTTATTGTGGTAAAATATGTTTAAATTCTGGCAGAAATACCAGAAATTTGGGAACGTGTTTGCTCTGAGGTCCAGGAACACCACGGAGGTGATTGTGCAGCTCCACTTTTAGCTGTAAATAAACCAATATGCAACTCTGGAAGTGAAATTAAACTGTTGTTGGACTGAAATCTGGCTTTATGCAGTGGAGAAGAGCTTGGGAACCCCAGCTTAAAGCCCATTTTTTCCCTAATTCATTAAACCTGACCTCAGTTCTTCACTTTGTCTCCC